ATTTGGTGCTGCTGTTGTTGATAAAAAATTGATAGTTGCTGGTGGAAGAGATGGATTAAAAACATTAAATACAGTAGAATGTTTTGACTTTTCAACTTTTACTTGGAGTACATTATCTCCTATGAATATACATAGGCATGGATTAGGAGTAGCTGTATTAGGTGGACCTTTATATGCAGTTGGTGGTCATGATGGTTGGAGTTTTTTAGATACTGTTGAAAGATGGGATCCAGCTACACGTCAATGGAGTTCAGTTTCTGCTATGTCTATACAAAGATCCACAGTTGGTGTTGCTGTATTAAATGATAAGTAAGTTTTCAAATAATTTGGTATGTATTTAATCGTTTTATTATTGTTATATATCCTATATGTGTATGTTCAGATTATATGCTGTAGGTGGAAGAGATATAAGTTCATGTTTAAACACTGTAGAATGTTATGATCCCCATACGAATAAATGGACACCTTGTGCGCCAATGTCAAAACGACGAGGTGGTGTAGGTGTAGGTGTCGTAAATGGATGTCTTTATGCATTAGGTGGTCATGATGCACCTTCCAGTAATCCTAATGCCAGCAGATTTGATTGTGTCGAAAGGTATATATATATGTTTAAAAAATATATAATAGTATATTATATTTATTAATTTTAGACTAATATATATATAAATTTAGACTAATATAAATATAATTACTAAATATAATTATTAATAATATAGTAATAAAAATATAATAATTAAAAAAAATAATATTACATGTAAACATTATTGATTATATATTGTATAAATGTTACAATTGTTAGGTATGATCCTAAGACAGATACATGGACTATGGTAGCACCAATGAGTGTACCACGAGATGCAGTTGGTGTTTGTGTACTTGGTGATAGACTTATGGCTGTAGGAGGTTATGATGGCCAACAATATCTCACTCTTGTTGAAGCATATGATCCACATCTTAATGAATGGGAACCAGTAAAAATATTTTTTAATTATAAAATATTAAAAAAAAATTTAACAGATATTTATATCATAAAATTAATGTATTTTAAGGTTGCTCCCTTAAATGCTGGTCGTGCGGGAGCTCCATGTGTTGTTATAAGAAACGTGGGTTTCGGATTTGATTAATGATAAAATTCTGCACAAAGTATGGAACTTCAAAAGCAACTATGGAACTTCAAAGTATTTTAATTAAAAATCTTACATCGGAAGATTGATACAGAAGAAGATATTTGCAAATGTTACTATATCATAAAAGTAACATTATTTTTGTCTATAAATATATGTTTAAAACATAGTGTTTCAACACAGACAAAGCAATGTTTGTACTCCATTTGATACGTTGCATATACTATCGTGAATTTGTACATATTTATACCTATATCTTTTGTATAAACATATTCAAATTTATTTTTAACAAATACATTTTTTACGTCGAACAAATTTATTTTTCTTGTCGACAAAATGTTTTTATTTACATATGTATTCATATATATTTTGTGAACATATTTTTAAATAAATAAAATGCTCATTTTAACTAATTTATCGAATTTTATAATCATGTTACTTGACAAATGTCCGTTATTTTTCATAAAATCCTAACAAGCCGGAAATGTTCTGAAAAATATACAAAAAAATAATAAACTTATGTAAAAATTCGTATTGTGATCTATTCCTTCTCATAATTCATTAATTAAAATTAAATTTACCGTGGAAAATCAGATGCCGATTCTGCAAATTTATGTCTAACCATAAAAGTAGCAATTGCTTCTGCTACTTTATCTGGAACATCTTCATGTACTGCATGTCCACATGCTGGTAATACTTGCATTTGAAATTTACCTAATAAAAGAAGAAAAAATAAACTTTAGAAATATTTAATATATTTAATATAGTATTTAATATCAATAATATTGTACCTTGCATTTGTCCAACAGTGAGTTCTCTGTCTAATCTGTCGACACCAGCTAGTAATAGTACTTTTGGAACTGGTACATTTAAAAATGCTGTTGACAAGCCCTTAAACCATCCAAGCCAATGTTGTTCAGTCTTTGATAGGTCTATTCTCCAAACATATTTTCTAGTAGCAGTAGTACTGGTTGGAGTAGATGGTGGTGGCATATTTACTGGTTCCTCTTCTTGAATAATATCTTCTCGTGGGATTGTGGTCTCAGAAATACACTGGCATGTTGATGATTGTGACAACGAATCAATATCATGAGTGGCTAATTTATTAGTTTCGATGCTACAGCAATATAAAATGTAATATATTAAAATAGTGAGTTGAGCAAGCTAATGACATATGAATGTATTGATATGTACTAACTTTCTTATTTGTCCAGGAACTGACACCTTAGCTGATTGTATGTTACGGATTTGGCCACTTCGTACACTAAAATGTGGATAATTAGAGACATTCTTCTATAATCTCGTTTTTGATTATACAACACAAATATGTAATATATTAAAGAAGTAAATAACATTTTAGTTTGTACAGGATCAGCCAAAAATGTGCCTTCCTTCTGAAAAATGTACTTAGAATAGCAAGTTTTCTTGACTGATAACAACTACATGAGAGACACAGAAAGATACTTAATAAGTATTTAATTACTTTATGTTTTTTTAAAATTTAAAAGTACTAACCACCATTCCACAGCTTGAGAAATAGAACTAAAACTAGATGGTCTTGATCTTAGAAAGCTTTGCATAGATGCTAATGCATCCATGGCTGTCCCTTCAACAACATCAATAACTCCTAATCCACATAAATTTGTGATTAATGATGCAGCTCTAACAGCTACTGCACCACCCATACTATGGCCCACTAGGATGACAGGATTATTTTTTGTTGTTGCATTTACAATTGCTGCAACATCTCTAGAAAATTAAAAAAAAAAAAATAATATGATATTTGATTTTATATTTGTAATTATAAAAAAATTATATTACTTTGCTAAGGTATCAGCAGATAAATCTTCTTCATTTGAAGTTTGAGTATCTCCATGTCCTCTAAGATCAATCGCCATAACTTTACATATTATCATAGTCATAATTGATTTCTGAAACATACACGATATAAGAATTATAAATTTATATTTTAAATATTTAATAATTAATACCTACAGTGAATTCTGCCCATGTTAATGCACTGTAACCACCCCCATGTAACAATACTAATGTCGGGCCATCTGTACCCTTAGTATAAATATGAAATATGTCATCTCCTATTTTCACATCTTGAGAATGATCAAAATATGGAGTCCATTGAACTGGATCATAATCTCTCTTACGTTGAAATCCCTTTGATTTATTAATCCTATTCATTAACAAAAAAAAAAAAAAATATTTAACAATAAACTTAGAAATTTTCTATTAAATCCACGTTGAAAAATTCATATTATTAAATTATTTTTATGAAAAAATTTGACTTTAATAGGATTTCATTTAATAACTTAAATTTATATAAATCATAATAAACTAACCTAGAGCTAATTCCAAAATTGACACCCGACGGTGGTAGTTTTGATTTCAAAATCGATTTTTGGAGGGAAGACATGTTAGTATGTATTCAACAAATTCTTCTGTTTTTCTAATAATACTATTTGCAATTATAATTATGTTCACTGTTTTTATAGATACATCACAAATTATAGTATCGTTGTTTTATTCAGAAGAATTAATAATGGAATACCAAAACTTCTCTGACAGCTTTAGCTTGTTACTACCTGAATTCAGTATTTCGATATAAAGCGCTCTGATGAAAATTTATTGCTGATGCAGCGTCTCCCTCTTTTTTATCGATATTCTTGAGCAATGTTATCTTACGTCGATATTCAACAGACTCAAATGATTAAAGCATTGCGAGGTAGAGCTTCGGTTAAACTTAACAGCATGGCGCTACTGTGCTACAGCAAATTATGGCGCGTTGAAAGAAAAAAAAAATTCAATTTTATTATTATTATGAGGTATACATGCATATTTGACAGGTAAAATATTAAAATAATTTTTAATCGTATAACAAATCAAATAATCTTATATATATTTTACATGATTGTCATATTTCTCTTTTTTAATCCTTTCTTTTGTCATTGCTCAAATGTATTCGATAAATTTTAATTGTCAAAGATATCCTGAGAGATGAAAAATAAAAATAATTCGTTTAGTTTCATATATTGTTAAAGGAATATATAAAAACAATGAAAAAAAAATTTAGAGAATGTTCGTTTGAACTATCAACATCATCACCTGACCTGACGCAATATTTCCATTCTTCTTAAATCTTACCCAACCTCGTGTCCATGAAACGAAGAAGCCGAGGTCGAAACTGGAAATCGTCAATGCCATCGAGAATCCGACGATGACAGACGGGCAAATAGTCGCAAGCGGAGGGGCCATCCGCTGTCGACGAAGCCTTACCTGGTGACTCAACTTGCGTACGTCGGTTTCAAAGCGCCGAAAGAAAGGGAAAGTACCCGGGACATCGAAGCATGGGAGCCTAGCATGCTCTCAGTCCGCGGAAAGCGACTGAACGCATACGAGAAACGATCCTTCGCAACGATCTGTCGCGCATTCGTGGAAATCGCGATCGAGATTCGTGGTGTGCACTGCTGGAATTATCATTCGTAGGACACTTGCGTCCTGATCGCTGAGATTTTTCCATGACGCAGATCATGCCGAATCGAAAAATGGTAAGGAACGATCCACGTCTGTCTTTATTAATTTTTTTCTAATAATATTTTATATTTATAATATATCACATGTTATACAGCTTTTGTTTGAAATACATTTTTTTATATTTAACTTGTTATCGATGACCGTTTGAAAATTGTTTGAAATCATGAATGATTCAAAGATCTAACACGAATTATTTATGTTTTTACTGAAATTTGTTGTGACTTTTTTTGAAAAATCAAACTTTTAAATTTTTTCAAAGGCTATTGAAAAAAAAAATTCGAAGATATTTTTGTTTGCGTAACAGAGATTGAAATAAAGCGTATTTTAACGTTTCACGAGGAACCTCGTGGAACGTTAAAGATATAAGATAAACGTGTATTTTGTTCGATATACGCGTATACCAGTCAGATTTTTCACGGAGCAAGGACGCCACGATATCGGAGAAGGGATCGAAAATCTGGAAGTCCTTCACTCAAACTATACTTATTCTGTTCATTTGACCTAAAAAAAAAACGAATTCGAATTAACAACTGAGAGTTCTTTTTTTTTTTCTTTCTATAATTATCACGAATAATGCATCGATGTGTATAAACACATTGAATTATCATCTAAAAAAAATTCACATTCCACTTTATATTACGTTATATATGTACAAACGTTAAAGAACCTTGAACACTTTAGACTGGTTACCGATCTCTTTTAAAACTTTTACATAAGTAATGCGAAGAATGAAATCAATAAGGCGACACACACCAATAAAACCATACAATACGATCGAAAATATATTTTGCGAAAAAAGGGAGAGGGAGGGAGGAGAGGGGTGGGGGGGAGGGATTTCGATATTAGGTTCAAGAACCGCAACGAGGTCAATCGTACCTTCGTTAGCTACTATACTTCGTAATAGTGTAGCTCACGATCTACGTCGGATAATACTATTATGCTAGCATTACGCAATCGCGAAAATTTCACTTTCCGCGGTGTGATCGCGCGCGCGCGCGCAAGCGTCCCAGGATAGCAAACTCGTATTGCATGCGTATACGCGTTTACCTTTAGATCGACGTGGAGATTTTTTTATCGTCCGTTCGTGCTCTCATCGTCTCTCTCTTTTCGATGCTTTTCCTTTTCTTTTCTTTTCTTTTTTCTCTTCTTCTTCTTCTTCTTCTTCTTTTACTTGACCATCCGACTTGTTTGTTCAACTGGTCTGGTCTATGGAATACACGCGTCTACTTAATCGTACAAGGACGAACGCGTGCATGTGTTTGTTCACCAACGGACGGTATTTTTGGAATTTGATACGTACACGTATTTATACACCTCTTGGAATTGTAGCTTATTTTTGAATCCCAAGAATTTAGAGAATACAATTTCTAAAATCTTCCACGATATTTTTTTTTTTTATTTTTTTCGGTTAGAAAAGAATTAATTTTCGGTTGAATCGAGTCTTCTTCATTCCATTATTCATTTCATGTGTATGAAATTCGAGATATCACAATGAATTACATAATACAAAATTGATATGCTCGACGATTGCGCAATCGATATAACCGGATGAACTACGTAATTCGTTCACATAGAGAGTTTAATTATGCATTGAATAATAGAAATGAAAAAATCAGATTTCATTTTTTTAATAGTAAAAAAAAAACTTTTATTATTATTTTATTATAAAGACAGTGAAAGCAATAGTTAAATTCAGATTTTATGGATTTTACCATAGAAGACAATTTTCATTTAAAAATCTACTAAAAATTGTGAATAAGTATAAAAGAATTTCGCTCTTACACTTCGTTCTATCTTGTCATCCTCTATTGTTTCTCTGTTCAACAATAGAGTGTAAAAATAATCGATTCGATCGAACAATGTTTTGTCGTCTGTGGTTTAACCGTGCAATCCGGTATTCATTGATATATCACATATCGTACGAAAGAGTGGATCACCTTTTCAGCAAAACTCGTTATTATGAAAAATAAAATCCGATATAACGGATTGAAGATCCTTGAAATTCTTAATACTCGAAACGATAGCTTCGAAAAAAAAATCATAATGTTTTTACTTAAATAATTAGGAAGAAAAGGCATTAGAATTTATTTATTTGCAAAGAAGAAGAAAAAAAAACTCTTTTCAATTAAAAACAAGAAAGAAAATGGCAAGAATGAATTATCTTAAGAAAAATTGAAAAAAAAAATATTTCTTCTAGTAAACTTTTATTCACTTGAATATATTTCGAAACGAAGAATTCGAAATGTATTGTTATGCAGGATAGACTCCTCTTCTTTCTTATATATTTAAAGTCTTTCAAACCGTTGAGAAGTAAGCGTCATAAAAAGACAAGACAAACCTGACCGATTAACGAAGTGTCACGTGCGCGAATATCATCCTGAATATCATCAATACAAATACGTGCACAGTTACTCGTTTAATGTATTCAAGAATCAGGATTTGATTGACAATGAAAAAAAAAAAAAGGAAATATTCATGTTCAGCTGTTTCAGAATAGAAATTTCATAAAATTCTATTTTTCAATTGAACAACATTCACTTATACTTTATTCTATTTTTAGGAATCCCTCGGTTAACCAATTACACACGAAGGAATATCAATCATGATTCTAAACACGTATTGGATTCGTGGAATCGAATTACCCGAAGGAGGCGCAGATGCTTCAGAATTTCTGAGTGCCTGACATTTTGGCCAATTAGAAGGAGTCACGATGTTGGATCCAGTTCTTGGAATATCGACGGTATGGTGGTTGGTGATATACGCCAATATTCTGCTGCTGCTGTCTCCCTTGGTGCTGCTTTTCATCGTATTCCTACCGAATTTCCCGATACTGTTGCTCAGAAGAATGTGCTACATTCCGATAGAATCTATATGACAAAGTCGAGTTCATCGATCGATTTCGTTTCTCAGAGATCGTACATCTCTCATCGTTAAGTTTATCGTGTTTAGAATTTTATATAACGAAAGGTCAGTTAAGTTAATTTCTTTCAATCGTAGAAGAAAGATAATTCGAAAGCACAGAGTGGTTGCAGAGAATTTCGATATCCTTCCGATTGCAGAAGAAATTGCTTGGAGAAAGACGATTGTGAAATTCGAAAGCACAAGAGAATTATACGAAGAGAATTACGATAGTCTTTGATGATTCTATAAAATTATAGAGAGTTAGTTTTAAATTATTATATTTCCGAGCATTCGGTGCAGAGATTGTAAATTCAAAATAATTACGAAATTACTTTTATTACTTTGTAAGAAAGTACAGTGTGCGGGATGATACAATGCGATGAATGACAATGTTCGAGAATGGAATGTACTGATTGCTAAGACTATATTCATTCATCAACAAATATACGTATTTTCCGCACGCTGTTCAATCGAATCAAAATTAATCGTAAAGTCAACATCTATCGATATGTAACTTTTAACTAATAATTTTGTGTATTTAAGTTTATCATTACCATCGCTCGTATCGTCAGGCATTCCCATTTTATATTAAAATTACGATGTATCTTGGAATAATCAAGTACACCTGCACCCATACATGATTAATTAGAATTTAATTATAAAACATTTTACACTAAAATCTCTATTCATTTATAAATCAACCGTTAGTATTCCAGATTGTAACTTTTCGCACACGATTCGCATCCTCAATTAGTTATTTCCTTCTCACGATTCTTTCATCTTTCGTTGCCAAGATTTTGCCATGATTCGCGTGTCATGGAACGAGTAGAAGAATCGATATGTAAAACCGATATAACGGGAACAGAGTTTCGCAAAGTATAAATCGTGAAAATTTCGAGAGATAACCTTGTTGATTCTTGAGCGTCAGTTCAGTCAGTTTATTATAAGATAAGCATTTTTGCTTAAAAAACTGTCTGATCGGTGCGAAGATCGAACTGTTCCAGAGAAAAGGGATTGTCTCGTAAATTTTCTCGAGATATTGTTCAATTTTTTCTTTCCTTTTCTTTTTTTTCCTTTTTTTTTTTTTTCATATTTCACGTAAACGGGAGTATGCGTCATTGAACATTCATCATTGATCTTGGTGGCCTCTTTTTCTTGCAATTATCGTGCTCGATTATTTTTTTTTTTTAATTCACTATTATAAACGATACATTACGATCGATTCCAGATTGGATGATTAATGCATGTCAATTCGAAGTTGACACGAAACTTTTCTACGTACACGAAACGGGTACACTAACCGTCACTGGTTGAACCAATCATCGATAACGATTTAATAACGATCAAAGACCTTATGCCTCTTTTTTTATTTTTCGAAAGGTTTCAATCTACTCGGAATTTATATTCCCCGATCATTATTAAATGCCACGCACATTTCTGACTGTTGCACTCGCAAGAAAAAATAAAAAAGATAATAAAATAGTATATAACGTAGTTCACAGCTACGTAGTACCTGAGCACGGATATCATCAATCAATTTATTGATAAATGCTCGATCGATGAAAGGAGTATCCTTTATATATGTAGGACACGTTTTATTATCTAGCAATTACTCAGCCATTTGTCGCTGTACAAGAAGCTCTAATCGTCAGTACATTATCACTGTTATTTTTACCACCATTATTGGTTTTTAATACATTATTTATTACCTTACTTTAACAATTTCCCCCTCCCCCCCCTTGACTGAATCAAAAAATTATTTTTCAAAGAATTGAACCTAATTAACTCTCTAATGAAATTCTGAGATAAAGAAACGATAGTATTGATTAAAAAAAAAAAAATGTTTTCGAATAAAAAGCCAGATATTATTTATTCACCTCGAAGAATATATTTCCAGAATGTGGATCGATAAAATTAAAAATAAATTTGAAATTTATATCGAGCGTACAATCGTTCGATCATCAATCGGTGCATTGCGATCCTGTGCTGCACAGGTAAATGCCTGTCCTTCTGCAGTTCAGTAGTTGATGTAGACGGGCCTCATGTTGAACATTACAGTACCGATCGCGGAGTACTTTCGCCAAGTGGCGTGTAGTGGGGGAGGTAGGACTTGAACCCTGAGACCCCATGGGCCATATATACTACGGTTCCATGCAGCTCTCTTGCTACTTGGTGTCAGCTTCTCGACGATCCTTGTTGTTTCACAGGGGAGACACATCGAGAGGAAGGACCGATCGATCTGGTAAAAGGTAAGCGACGTATTCATTCATTTCAACGGATTGATCTACGCGATGAAAACTTGATCGTCCATTTCGCTCGTCGGAATAGAGAATCGCTTAAAAGCGTAAGAAGAACGAAAGGAAGAGCACAATTGATAAAAGAAAAAATTCGCGCGTGTTAATGAGATGAATCATTGCATTGCGTATTCATCTAAAAGATATTTCGCGCATTTTCCATCGAAGCTTATTAAGTTTGTTAAGATCATTCTTTTTTTTTTTTTTTGGATCAAAGATAACCGCTTTCGTCGGCGAAAATCTCTCTAAAGATTATATGAAGATCAAGAGGAACGCAAGAATTTCACGCTAGGCGCGACTGTGGGTACACACCTACGAAGAAAACAGTCAAGATTCTATTCCGTACACGCGTAGTTCGCCTCTTTTGTATGCGATCGTATGATCGAGCGCACGCGAGATCTTTACTCGTGGATGGCAATTACATTTCCATGTAAAAACAATAATGGTCGTTTGATCGACACGCGGTTGGATCATGCGAGTTCCTTTCTTCGAAACCTGGATGAATTCTGATTAATTCTCGACTCGAAGAGATAAAAGTTAAAGATAATAAAGCAAGCGGAATAAGCTTTTCCGTAAAGAAATTAATAATATATATATATTAAATCACGTTGATTTTTGATTCCAATATAATAACAAATTTAAAATTTAAATTTTAAAATGATATTTATGTTAAACTCATTTTACCAGAATAATTACTTAGCAATCATTTATGAGGATAGATTGTTCATTTTCAATTCTAATTCGACTTAACACGTGATAAATAAAGGAAAGAAAATTGTCAGTGGACTAATTTAACAGATCAATACATTGATACAAAATTTAAAAAACGATTCGAAAATAGAATATACACTCATTACTTTTCCACGAACCCAATATATAAGCATATATAAGCTTTGCATAGCTTTGTTCTTGCATCAACATGTTTGATAGTCGCAATTGTCTGTCGTACGTTGGTTCAGAATCTCTTTATTGTCGCGTGCACGCGTGCTTGTGCTAGATTTATCGGCGTTGAGCCCGAACAAGGGACTTTGAACTACGTATCGTTCTCTCCGTCACATTTACGCGGCACTGCAAGCATATCCGTTTCAATTATACTATCGATCCAATAACGTTACATTAAATTTTCATCGTTTCCATTATCGCCACGCTTTACATTACGCCTCGATCATTTTCAGATGAATCTACTCGTCGTTCTCGCCTTGATAAAGCTGGCCTCAGGGGATCCAGGGGGACTTCTCAGAGTTCCCAAAGTGTACAACGCCGTGATCACGAGCAATCAAAATTTATCCCCATCCAGAGCGTACCCGGTAATTCAACCGGTGATTCATCGAACGGCGATCGGTTACGTGCCTCCCGTTTATTACACCCAAGTGGCGCCTCATCAAGCCGGGCAGGAGCATCTTTCTCAAGGGAAACAATCGAGCAACCAGGCAAACGACGTTCAAACCGCGTCCTCGTCCATCCTCCTCGAACGGTCCAAATCGGCCGACAAAACGGAATCGGCGAATCCGAATGACGAGGAAGAAGGGGGCAAAGATGTGTCGAAGGGCAAGAGCGGGGACCAGGAGCCTCTCAGCTTTTATCCCAATTACCAGTCGTTGTATTACGACCCTTATTTCTACACGTACAACGGATTCAATCCTCACCTGGTTCCCGGCACGTACTACGTGGACTATCAACCCTACGGCACCCTCGAGCCTATCCCGGCAACCACACCGAGAAACGGCCTGGCCGAGCATCTGCTCCCAGCCTATCACGAGGAGAAGAAACTGGCGGCAAAGGAAGAGAAGGAGAAAATACCGGATGTACCGCCGCCACCCCTTCCAACGGCTGTGCCGAAAAGTTCTTGAAGCGGAACCGGTCCGACAAGGTTCGTTTTCGTGTCACGTTCGAAGCCCATGATCAGACTGATTATCATAGATAGAGCTCTCGATACACCGGGATACACGAGATCGGCCAAGTGAAGTTAACGAGAGACAATTTAATTCGGTTCGTTCAACCATCGTTGTATATAAATTACGGTCGAAAAAAGAAGGATGATTTTGGAGGGATGGTGCACAGTTACTTTGTTCTTATTTTCACGATTATTTATGAACAGATAATATTTTATAAAGTAACTTATGCTCTCTAACATGTAACGTTTAATTCATACATTTTTATATTCGCTATATATGGCAGATTTCTTTTATCGGTTTTTTCTTTCACTCGTGTAACACACACATCTTTAGAAATAAAATATTATATTTATGTTTTATTTTTATTAAAAAAATATATATATTTTTTATATGATGGAGAGAAGAGAAAAAGAAAGAGAGAGAAAGAGAGAGAGAGAGAGTGGCAAATTATTTGCCTGTTATAGAAAGGCAATTGTATATTTTAAAAAGTTACAGGAAAACGTTATAGGAAACGTATAGATTTATGTTTCGACATGATCGCAGCGATCGTTTATCTTCCTCACGGCCCAGATCTTAATTACGTATAAAAATTCCATATTCTTCAACCCCTTAGCGATAAACATTAAGGAGCTTATACTGCCATCGTTGTTACGATTCACGTCGATATTCAACGTGGCATTTTTGTTCTTCACTGGTACGATTCTGATGCAAGTGACGCACAGTGAACCCTCCAACGTCGTTGTTAAATCCATATTACTCTGTATCGAATTTTTCGTATCGATGATCAAATTGTGCTGATATATCAATTTACCCGAGCAAATACCCCACTTCAGAACATTGTCGTCGTTTTTGTTGTCGTTCTGAAAATATTTTTCGTTATTTACAATCAATTTGAAAAAAAAAAAAAGAAAAAGGAAACGATACTTAACAGCGCGACATTTATATTTACTCGAAACTTTTTATTCTTTTTTTTTTGTAACTTATCTCTATCAGAATCTACACTGAATCTATTAAGTTTAATCTTGTTAAGTATTTCGTAGAGCAAATATATGAAAGTTTGTTGAATATGCGTGTTTGTACTTACTGCTATCGAATCATTTTTGTCACTTTTGCTGTTAACTTTGTTGTCGTTGTTCAAACGATTGTGATACACGTTCGACGTCTCTTTTATGACTCGATCCGTATCACTAGATATCGTTGTCGTTTCTATCGCTTGTTTTCGAATCTTGGGAGAATAGGTGGAAATTAAAATAGAATTTTCATCGAAATTTTTCCTTCTCTTACTTCGAGCCTCGAACGTGTTGTCAATTTTTTGAACGTTATTCGTCCCAATCTTAGCGTAAGAAGATACACTCTGTATATTATTCGTCGTAATCTTAGGGGATATTTCGTTTCGAATATCATTCGTTTTAATTTTAGCGAATGAAGATGTATTATTCTTATCCAATTTTTGTTGCAAATTATAGGTAGGCTTGTGGGTGGTGGTTACCTCTTTCGCGTACTTTTTCGCTATCTCTTTCTGGCGAGCGTAAAATTTGTCCATAACCGCTTTCCTCATCGAGTAATAATCCGATTTGTCATCTTTCAAATCCCTGGCGTAACGCCTCGATCTGTTCATTCGATCCGCGAAATAATCCGCGTGACGCCGACCGATTGTTTTCTTCGTCACGCCTATCGATTTATCATCGTTCGAATAGGTCAACTGTTCTTTGTTCTTCCACTCTTTCTTGTAATCAGCCCGAGTTCGAATCAGTTTCAATTTCTTGTAGCTTTTCTTCGTGTCTTTGAACTCGTTCGAAGAAGCTTGGCTCGTGTTCCTCTCCGCTCTGCCCTTGTACTCCACATCGATCCCTTTATCCGTTTCGTGCTCCACGATCGAACGATACTCCCTGTTATGTGGAGAATGTATCCCCACCACGTGCCACATTCGATGGGGAGGTATCCTGAAAGTTGGCGCTGCCTTAATTTCGAAATCGTCAGTTCGAGACTTTTTCCCATCGATAGTTTCGATTTTCGCCAGTTTCAATTCCTTCTTATTCTTAATTACGTAGTCGTGCGTATCTGGTTCGACAGCTTCTCGATAATCCTGCTTTATGAGTTTCCTCTCGTGCAAGATGGACGTCCCGATTATCACGAAGAGTACCAGTAGAAAAACACCGACCGACCAAATATTTTTCACGCTCATATTCGCGATCGATGCGAACGATCCGAGCACCAAGAAAGGAAATGAACACGAACAGCGTACACGGTATCTTTGACCCCGGTTTATCTATTGCTCGGATGGATTTTTTCATCGTTGGACGATGCGATTCTTTCTCCCCCTTGATGCTTAATTATAGAAAATCATTTAATAAGATTTATTCATGAAAGTAGACTAATTGCTTGCCTTCTGTCGAGAATCGATTATTTCATAGTCGAAGCGCCTTTGGAAGAAAAATTGCAATTGCTCTTATTTTCTGACGTAATTAGAGCTTGTAACGAAATAATATTTTGTTCGAGAAGTAGTAGGCAATCTGAGATTAATAATTGCAAAGATGAACACGTTATGCGTTGTAAACTGATATAAAAGCGTTTTATTTAATTTAACACAGTAAATTTTTACATAGGAAGGAATAAATTCCTTAAAAAATTTCTTGATAATTATAGTCGTTGAGTTTATAAAAATCGACGAATATAATATTTTCAAATGGCTCGAGTATAAGAAAGATTCGTTAGTCAAGATTTCAGATTTTAAGAATTGATAAAAATAAAAAAGAATCTCGCTAAATTTCGTTCCACCGTAGAAAAATTATTATTTCGATTAAACGGTTAAATGTTATCATCGATGCTTTCGTTCAACTCTTTCATTTCCTTTTTTCCCCCTTCGATCTTCGTCTCCAATTTTTCAATCCCATCACCGTCCTCATCGATCGGTTTTGCGCTGGTCGATGGTCGATCTCCTGGATGAGCAGCGGGTAATAGCGGATACACCTGTAAACAAATTAATCAAAAATAGAAATCGATACAGAAGAAGTTTAAGATTTCAATTTTAATCGAAACGAGTCGATGCGTTTTTTTTTTTTTTACCGGTATTCAATGGTAGCCGGAAGTCGTAAGTCGGGGTTCCATAATAGAAGCTATAAACAGGTAAATGAGAAGCAGGCAGTTTTCCATGTGCTATGATAGGAGCTGCATTTACATCGGAATGTACCTAAGCGAGATAAGCGAAAATATCAAGTATTATGAGTATGAAAAGAGTATTTACATTAATCAAACCAATTTTTTTCTTTTTCCAACTTATATATATATATATATATATATATATATATATATATATATATATATATATATA